TACGTATATATATAGATATATATACCTACATATATATATTTACATATAACACATATATGAATATATATCACTCCCACTCTTAAAATGTGAAATCTGAAATATTATTCCCAGCATAGGCCGGCTCTAGAGCACATTTATGTACTGCTTAGGGAGCTAGATCCCACAAGGCCAACCCTGGTTCAAATCTCCACCCAGCAGCCTGAAAACCATACCTGCCTCAAATGCATTCATGCCCAAAATCAAGACCGGATGAAGAAGTGGAGGGAAAAGGATTGCAGCGTGACCATGCCTCATTAGAGGGTGCTTTTTCTCTGTCTCCGTCTCTGTCCTTGTCTCCGTCTCCCTCTCTCATGAATACATGTGCCCTCTGGGATTAAAAATAAATTAAGATAATATATATCATATGCAACCTGCCAGACCTTGTATGTTTTAGCTGCAAATAAATTAATTTAAGATAATATATATAATATCCAACCTGCCCGAACGCTGTATGTTTTAGCTCCAAAATTCAATTTTTTTTGAGTACCAACAAGACATAACAAGTAGAAAATTCCACGCCTGACCTCATGTGACTGGTAGCAGTCAAAATGCGGTAATACAAAAATATTATGTAAAGTTACCTTCAGACTCCATGCGTAAGGTGTATATAAAACATAAATGCATTTCATGTTTCGACTTGGATCCCCTTTCAAGATATCTCATTATGTATATGCAAATATCCCAAATGTTGAAATATTTCAAAACCCAAGGCATTTTGGTTTTCAAATATTTTGGTCCCAAGTATTTTGACTTGGATAGATCCTTCAATCCTGAATACATACGTGCATATACATGAATTGACATATGTGTGTGTGTGTGTATATATAACTATATATGTACAAATATATATAAACATATACATAATTATGAACTCTATGGAGACCACGTTTCATTTCTATTCCTGACTGGAGATGACCATCACAGTGACGTTTTTGGAGACAAGGTGCACTCTACTGCAGTGCACAAAAAAATGCCTTCATATTTATGCAGACTTTCTTTGTTTTCTCTTTCTAGAACCTCAACCTACTGGCTCACTCGCATCCAGTCTTTTCTCTACTGCAACGAGAACGGCCTCCTGGGCAGCTTCTCCGAAGAGACGCACTCCTGCACGTGTCCGAACGACCAGGTGGTCTGCACCGCCTTCCTGCCCTGCACCGTAGGCGACGCCTCCGCCTGCCTGACCTGCGCGCCCGACAATCGCACTCGCTGCGGCGCCTGCAACACCGGCTACATGCTGAGCCAGGGCCTCTGCAAGCCCGAGGTCGCCGAGTCCACCGACCACTACATCGGCTTTGAGACTGACCTGCAGGACTTGGAGATGAAATACCTGCTGCAGAAAACGGACAGGCGAATAGAAGTCCATGCCATCTTCATCAGCAATGACATGCGACTCAACAGCTGGTTCGACCCCTCCTGGCGGAAGCGGATGCTCCTCACCTTGAAGAGCAACAAGTACAAGTCCAGTCTGGTCCACATGATCTTGGGGCTCTCTTTACAGATTTGCTTAACTAAAAACAGCACTCTGGAGCCGGTGCTGGCGGTGTACGTCAATCCCTTCGGAGGCAGCCACTCTGAGAGCTGGTTTATGCCGGTGAGTGAGAACAGCTTTCCAGACTGGGAGCGGACTAAGCTGGACCTCCCGCTGCAGTGTTATAACTGGACACTCACTCTGGGGAACAAATGGAAGACGTTTTTTGAGACGGTGCACATCTACCTGCGGAGTCGCATCAAGTCCAACGGCCCCAACGGCAATGAGAGCATTTACTACGAACCTCTAGAGTTTATTGACCCTTCGCGTAACCTGGGCTATATGAAAATCAATAACATTCAAGTGTTTGGCTACAGCATGCACTTTGACCCTGAGGCAATCCGGGACCTGATTTTGCAGCTGGACTACCCCTATACTCAGGGATCCCAAGACTCGGCACTTTTGCAGCTCCTGGAGATAAGAGACCGTGTAAATAAACTCTCCCCACCTGGCCAGCGTCGTCTAGATCTGTTCTCTTGCTTGCTTCGTCATAGACTCAAGCTGTCTACTAGTGAAGTGGTGAGAATCCAATCCGCTCTGCAGGCGTTCAACGCCAAATTGCCAAACACAATGGATTATGACACGACCAAATTATGTAGTTAACCGTTAATGTCAAGCACAACCCAAAACCTTGAAGGAGTTTTTACAGTGCTTTTGTGGAACAGTTTATGTTTGGAAGAGTACATTTAAATTGTCTTTTCAATATCTGTCTTACACCAGTCAATAACATTGGATGGCAATTGACTCCCTTGAACTTGCTGACAATGAATATATTATACTGCAGTTTTGGTTTATGAATGAAATAAATACTGACACCAGTCTAGAAGACATTCTACTTTTTACAATAAATTTCATTTGTAATTTTATATGTTCCGTGGCAATGCTTTTGTGCATTACATCCTCTAGAGGGAACATAAAAAGATACCAATAAAATTTTGTAGCTGAACAGTTATTAAAAAGAAGTGCTGTGGGTTTCCTTTTTTTTTTTTTTTTTTTCCATGAAATGAGTTCTATTTTGATATAGTTTGTTAGAACCTGGGGAAAACGTACCAAGATTTTTTAATGGAAATATTTGAAGGTCCTTTTTTCAGTTATCTTTCTGAAACACCCAACTAGGTAGAAGGAGTAGTATTCAGTGGTATTTACAGTTAATAGCATAATGACAGTGGTAAGTTTATTACCTATATTTAGAAAATCCTAGAGACACAGTCATTGCTAAAATAGTCAGATAAACTATTTCCCCAGTTAACAGCAGAGCATTTCAGCAAACTTACAGAAATATCAGTGTGATTATAAGGCATATCATGAAGAACATAAACCCTTCATTTCCTTAGCAACTTGCTTTGTCGTGCTCTTTCTACATCCTAATAACCAGTAATCAGCATACCCTGCACAATCATTTTCATTTCAAGTCCTGAAAACCTAGTTATTCCAGCATTTTACCAATGTCAATAAAATAACATTCTAGAATTCACAAATTGTTATGTAATGGTATCAAATGAATGTTCAAATAACTAGTTCAACTGTAAATAGACATTTTTTTTTTCCCTCTTGGAGAAACTACTGTTACTAAAAGATCTTTAACGAGAAAAACTCTTTCAATATAACACTAATTTTTGTTCAAAATTTTTGGTTTGAAAGTTGAATTGTGTTCCTGTATTTCCCATAATGTAATATTAAATATATAATTATTTTTTTATAAACTTAAATTTCATTTTTTTAGCTCTATGGCTGTATCTATAAAATGTGTTTATGCTACTTATCACTCAGCTCTGGTCCAGCTGTTTTATAAATATTTTATTATTATTTAACCAGATGCAGTGTCCAGGTTAGCTTTCTTATTGATATCATTGAAGATGTTTCTTGGGGCACAAAGAAAGGAATCCATGCCAAGGATTAAAAAAAAAAAAAAGATGACAAAACATTACACACATATTTTAGATTGTTAGGCTGTTTCTTTTTAATCCCATGCATTTGAAATACACAGTTCAGACAGTAAATACTTCTTCAATCTACCAACAACAAAGAATTTTGTTTTCCACCTAATATGTAGGGAGCTGAATTTGTTAGTTATCTGATTTTTTACTTTTCTTTATCTTCTGTTGTGATAAATAATTCAATAGAAAATATATGCAAATACTAAACACTCAACGTCTTTCTGGTATCACAAAAGTATTTTCATTTAATTCTGATATCAGTACTACATTATAAATTATAATTTCAATTTTCTTGATGAAAAAATAATAGCAATGTCCAGAGTAATTTATCAAGTTCCTCATGATCACAAACTAAAAAGTTGTCAAGATTTCAATACAGGGTGCTGGCGGGTGGCGTGGAGGTTAAGGGTGCTAAACTCTCACAAGGCCGAATGAGTTTTGAGTTGCAGACCTGGTGGTTTGCTTTCTCTTCTCTCTCTCTCTCTCTCTCTCTCTCCCTCCCTCTCTCTCCCTCTCTGATCAAATTAGAAATAAATAAGTAAATAAATAAAGTCAAAATAATTCTTAAGAAAAAATATTCCAATACAGACCATCCTATTTCTCTATTTAATTTCATTTTATGCAGAGGTTTATGGTGAAACAAGAATCACTTAAGAGTTCGAGGTCTGAATCAGCTAACATTATAAAACATACTTATACACCGCATGTGAAAAATTAAATGAAATCAGCCTGTGTCATCCACAATCTCCCACCCACAGAGGGACTGAGTGTATCCGACATAGACAATATGTTTCTAAAAGCACTTGTTATTAAAGTCAGCATTGCCCCTAAGACCTTTACCAGAAGAATCTGGCCCAGCTGTCCAGAGCCTCTAACACCCTGAAACCATCTTAACAATACACATGATTACCAGTGGACTCAGAAAACAAGAATTCCGCTGACAAGAACGTTGTCAAAAATGCTACTCTTACTGAAGGGCTCACTCTGCCCTGATCGGCATTGAAGAGGGAGAACTCTACTGCCACAGGCAAGAAAGTACATAACCAGAGTTTGACCTGGGAGTTCCTGTGACTGACAAGGGTTGGCACAAAGGTCCCATGGATAGGACAGAATTTTTGTAGCTCCACCTCTCTTGGTAATGCCCAGACAGTGGGTCTTTTACACTTTTACATTGTGAGTCTAGTTTCTTTTATATTACTAGTGAGAAGTAATATGAGTACTTTTCTCTGAATAATGTGCCTAAGATAACATGAATATGCTATATATATAGACGCACTAACTCTACAGATTTGTAGAGTTTCAAAATTTAAATGACTAACACAAAAACATATTTCTGTTATGAAGATATTAGCAACTATCAAGGAATGCCCAATAAGCAGTAGACGATGTAATAATCTTAGTCAATACAACATGTGTTTACCAATATATGGGGGAAATGCAGCCCGTAACATTTCATTTCTCCTGAATTGAATTGCATACTGTTGTATTAGGAATTTGAGAATTTTTAATAAAAATAACCTTACTATCAAAATCTCATATAGAGAAAAAGATACATATGTGAATATATAAATATAAGATCATATTTTAAACATATTTTAAAATGACTTACTTTCTTTTCGATATTGAATTCTTGATATTCCCAACTCATAACTCTGTATTTATCTTGAATTTTATAAAGCCAATGAAACTGGATGTTCTGAAAATCAAAAGCGTATTGAACCAACATTTTCTCCAGGGATAGCACTCCAGCTATTCTGATGACCTGACTCACTTCCACTGGAATCTTGAGTTGGTTTTTAGCAAGTTTCATCAGCATCCAAATGATCAGTGTGAGCTCAAAGGCTGAAATAACTAAGGGTCCTAAGTGCATTTGAATAACGCAAGATGATCTGTTTTTCTTCCTTTTCCTTCCTCCTCCTCCTCCTTTTCTTTTTTCCTCTCTCCTCCTCCTCCTTTCCTTACTCCTTTCATCCTTCTTCTCTTTTTCCTTTTATAATTCTTGCCATAACGTGAGGAAAGATCTTGGAAGGAACCGGGACCATACATGGCTTCATTCTTTTGCTGAAAATGTGTCTCCTTTTGTTGTCTTCATTATACATATTGAAGAGCTATTTTATTTAGAATAGACGTAAAATGTATTCACTTGAAATAAGTAATCCACATAAAACAACTTGAGAACAAAATAACACTATATATATTTGCTAAAATGGGCCTTAACTGATTTTAGGAATTCAACTGGAGGAAAGTTGAAAGTTTTGGAAATAGTAGAAAAGTCAACTTTTAAATAACAATCTTGGTTTACGATTTTAAGGGCTACATGTATGTCTTCCAGATCACACAATTGAAAAGAATATACATAATAAATCATATTTAGAAAAATCATAATCACAATCTCAATCTCAGTTGATTCCTAGATCATTTCATTATAGTAAAAATTCTTTAGCAAGGTTGAGTTTTCTCCCTGGTTTTAAGCACGATATTCGTAATTCAAGTAATGAATGTCAAACTTGTGATATCCTTAGGAAGTATGGTTCAATCAACTGGATTTTGAAATTTCGAGAGTTTACATTTTGCCGTACCCACTCACCGTGCCATCTATCTGTTCTACCACTATTCACATTCAATTTCCCTTGTCTACGGAAATGAACTTACATTTCTACCTTTAGGACTTCTGAATCAGATCATTTCAAGTGTAATTTAATTACTGGATAATTCCAATACTTGGTAAATGCATCTTAGTGGAAAATTTTTACAAACACCTTCATTTCTATTCTATGAAAGTAGCACTAGCTATTTTTAATGAACTATGAGTGGTTGATGAATGAAAATATCCATGTCAAATCATTAGATATTTAGGAAATGACAGCCAAGTGTGGTAAATTAGTACATATAAATGAAATTCAGAATGACGCAAAAATTCCACACTTGAAATTATCTTGTGTGCTGGTAATCACGTTAACCAATTAATGACTGAAGTGTTATTTTAGCTTATGATTAGATAATACAACTATCATGTGCAACCATAGTACATAATATTTGATTAATTAAATATCTGTGCAATCCTTAGCATCGTTAAGTCAGATTCTGAGGATAGAGTGAGTAGGAGAATTTCTGGGTGACATGCTGATCTTATCACAAGTTTCGAAGGCCTCTCTCTCCAGCCAGCATTATTATGGGCATAAAATAATCACGAAAGGACCTTCAAAATTTAAGAGTATATTTTAAGTAGAGGAAAAATGGAATCTCTAAAAATAACTGGCAATGATAAGAAACATGGCTCCTAAAATGCCAACAAAAAAAATGTAAAAATTACTGGGTCCAGCAGATGGTGCGATGTGGTTAAGGCACTGAACTCTGACATGGCTAATTGTGGTTTGAGTCCTAGATGTAGTGGCTTGCTTTCTCACTTCCCCTCTCTTTCTCTGGTCAAATTAAAAGAACATTGTAATAAATAGGAATTAGATAAATAATTATTTTAAAAAGCTATTTACTAAAGAAACTAAGTGCCATCATTTTACACAGACATATTTAAAAATACATCTACTATCAATTAGATTCCCGATTTTGAAATCTAGTTTTGTTTCATTTTCTATGATAACTTGGGTAATTTTTTTGAAAGATACTTATTTCAAATCATTAATATAAGGAAAAAAGAAATGGAAACCACTCTATCATAAGATTTTGGATTATCGGGAAAGTCATGATGCATTTTTACATAGAAAAATATGTCATGACTTTTTCTACCAACCTAACATAATTCATTTATGTAGACTATAATCTTGGTATTTTAGATATCTAGAATACTTAATACAGAAACCATTACAAAAACATAAATGATAAATATTTCAAATGATCTACCAGTTGTTTTTCATTGTGTTGCTAGCAATAGAAATACCTGTCTCTGGGTAATTTATATAAAGAATATAGTATTTATCTCACAGTTTTGGAGATCTGAGGTCAAGGGGCCACATCTGATGAGGTCTTAGTGGGACCCTGAG